AAAAAAAAAAAAAAAAAACAGTAACTTGGAGAACAGAAACCGCTGATCTTTGCATCCAATGGCAATAAGCTACCCTTCCAACTTTCCATGTGAAAAAGAAGCTGGGGTATGGTTCTGAGTTCTCTGACTGGAATGCAAATACCTCTAGGTCTTTTCCCAAATGGGGAGTTACACACAACGGTTTTTTTCCAACGTTGGATAAAATGGCGGAAGCATAAATAAATTAGTTCAAGTTGCATAAAAAGACGACATCGTGATTTCATCGAGAAGTTGAATCATCATCGATGAATCCCATTCATCATGGGAGATCCCTGTTCCTACTACTACCCTCGATCTATGTATGGTTCTCATATCGTTCGTCTGTTTTTATTATTACATACTGTTTGAGATAAAGTCAACTCTGTCTTTACTGTACGCTTCCGTTCAATAAGAAAGCCATTGTTTCAAAAAAACACCGATTGCCGTCTTGTCAATCACGGTAGTTTCAATTGGATCTGAGCCACAAACAATTGTGTTATGCACGGGCTTTTGTTTCCCTTGCTTGAGCTTCCAACACAGCCAGCCATCGTCAGGGCCTCACCAATTGGCGGAATTGACGGCCCCACTTCCCAGAAGCCCTGAAAGCCCTCTGTAAAAATGCGCTGTAAGCATCCGCTGGAGGTATCACGACAGAACCAAGCACCATCAGCCTATGATTGTCTCTCTACAGCTTTCTCCTCATCACCTTATTCCCACGTCACGCCTGCATATTCCTTGTCGCGAACAAATTAACATTCAGCCGCCAGAAGAGAGAGAACAGAACACAGCAGGGCAGCAACCATTGTCTCCCCCGCCTTGATGACCCAAACCTTGAACGTCAGCCAACCCTTCATCCCTGCATCCACGAACGAGGTATAACGCAGCTTCTCTATACCTCTTCGTACAGCATGTTGAGAACGCAACAGTAGAATCATTCCATCACCGCTTGGAAATCATTGTGCAGAACGAACAAGAGGAGTAAAAAGCCAAATGCCACTCTCACCGGTCATCTTCCCCAACCTGAACCCACAACGTAGCATCACCAGACCCTACATGTAGAAGTTATACTTGGTAGCATCCAATGATAAGGTACAACACCACAATAATAACCTTGGCCGTAACTTGTAAGGTAGCCGCGGTTCAGTACAGTAACAACGTCAGCTGTGCAGTTGCAGTTCCTCCTCATGTAGTCGCGCCCAATCCTCGGTTCAATAACACGTGGACGACCGAGCGCTTGTTCTCTCAAGTTACAACTTGAATACTTGCTGTGTGCTCTTCTGCCGCGCGATGAACCCTGCCCAGCCGCCGATTGTGTCAATCGTGCCATGCCAACTCTACCACCTCGTGATATATACTATCAACATGCCCCGCTACTTGGAGCTTCTGCTTTCTCTCAAACGTGCCGTCTCAATTGTATTGATCTGATATCCTACCAACTTTGAAACCACCGTCGTCATTGAATCTTTTCGTTCATCATCACCACTTTCTGTCGCTTGTTACGAGTCACACCCGCCTCACGAGGTCACAACCAACCAGCACCGTTGAAAGGCGGGCCAAAGTCTAAAAAAGCAACCAGCAACGGGGGACTTTGTTTTTCTTGAGTCGAACTTCTATTGGGCCCCTAGGTCCAAAAGTCAACAAGAAGAAAAAAACAAGAGTCAGCCATCGCTCGGCTTTTCACACTAGCTTCCTTTTGCACTGAGTCTGCCGGACACAGCCCACTTCAGAGACAAGAGGCAGAGAGAAGAAAACTCCACTGCCGAAACCGTTTCCTCGTTGATTCCTACCCAACCTAGTGGGGTCTCTGGTGTCGTTTTTTTCTTAGACTCAGAAGGAAAAAGCTGCAAGCAGAAACCAGAGCCCAGCGTCCAAGCCCAGGTCTTGGAAGGACCAGGACCCGCCCCGCGCTCGCACCTGCCACCCCTGTTCCCATAGCCCACCCACCTGCTAGCAACACACAACTTTCCGCTTCCATTAGCCATTCCTTCCCAGAATCCCACCCCGGTCTCAGTTTCCTTAGTCTTGGAGGGAAAGCAGAGAGCAACCCCCGGTCCCCGGATCCGCCGCCACTTGGCCCGACAGCAACAGCGACAGCGCAAAGAGTACGTACTCTTTTTACCAAAAACCCCCACTAAACCCTCCTTGGGCTGCGGTCACCACAGGCTGGGCTGTCTGTCTCTCTTAGACTATCATCCCGAGGCATCCCTCCAACTTCTTGTTTTCCTCTTTCTCTTCCCACTTTTTCCCACCCCAAAACAAAAACAACAACATAATATAGCAATCCTGGAGGAAATCATAGTCGACCGCTCGCTTTTTCGACGTCTCCCTATCCATCACGGCCTCGACCGTAAAGGCCGACATCATGTCGCCCAAGCTCAAGCCGCTGCTTCTGCCGCAGATGGTGGAGGATCGCCGCAAGTGGGAAGTACAACAAGTTAGCCCCGAGACAGACCTCTCATACGTCTACTACACAACAAATTCGTCCTCATCCGATGTTGCTTCACCACTCACTCCGACTTTCTCTCCTGGCAAGGGTCACTTCCGCATGTCCAGCTCGACGTCTTCTCTCGATCTGCCACCGCAATTGAACGAAAGTCCTGTATCTCCTACGCCATCGGTCCACACAAAACCACCAATGCGATCATTGCCCGATGTTCAAGAAGAGCCTTTGGAACCCGAACACAACAACTACGACGACGATGTCGACCGTAATAGTCTTGCTCCTTCGGACCAGTTTAGTCTCTATGACTGCTTGTGTATGTCTTGTTCGTCTGGTCAGGCCGTCATATCTTCCCGCAAGGATGCGTGTTTGGCCTGCCACCTTCGTAATCGTGGAGTTACTAACCCAGCCTCTTCCCGTGTAGGCGACAACCAATGTGAGCCCCGAAATAGTTCCGAGGATATCATGTTTGACGGCAACATTGTTGGCGACTACGATATCGACTACGACATGGGTTTCTTGAGTGACGGTGACATGCCCATGGACGAGCGCTCTCGCAAGAAGAGATCAGGTAGCGAGTCACCCTTTGCCGGCCTCACGTCACGCATCGGTGCCCGCTTCCCCAACATGTCTATCTGGAAACCAAACGGCCGTCGAGGCAACCCGATGATGTCGCCCAGCACCGAACTCAGCTTGGAAAGCGTTGTACTGTCTGGAGGTCCTTCAAGTCGGTCGTCATCCATGTCTGCGCCCTGCCGACCTGGTCAGGAGCGCGCGATGGAAAACACTGGACTCCCTACTCCTGCAGTATCTTACTATGGAAGCACCGAGAGTATCAACCTACCCGCACCTATCGACATCGAAAAGGCGCAAGCTCTTGTCGAGCGATCCGACCTTGAGCGAGAGCGAGGCATGGCCACAACACCTCTACTACCTCCATTAATGACCAGTCCTCTCTGTGGACCCCCGCCAGAGTCTCCTCTCCAATCACCAACCATCGCACCACCCTCTTCGACTACCGAAGTCCCTTCGCCAGTCCCTTCTGCGACACAGTTCCCTCGACCATCTCTTAGCACGAAGCCTTCAGTGTCATCCTTCCGCTTTGGATGCAACAGCCCTGAGGTTCCACTACCCCTCCCATCGATCCTGCAGGAGCACGACGAATGGTCTGATCGCCTTGGTCATGCCAACTTCACCATCACCCCGCAGCCTTATCAACCCGAGTCCGTAAACATGGAGACCCTCCATCAGCTGCGCAACGATTGGGACACTGCACGATGCAACTACACCAAGCACCTTGTACGCACGGGAGAGAACTATGGCGAGACCAGCAAGATCTATGCTCTTACCGAGGCCAAATGGACCGACATCGAAAAGCGATGGAGGACAACCCACGATGGACTCATGGCCCAGATCGTGGAAGCTACCAGCTCTGCTCCCGGTTCAACAAGTGGTTCACGAAGCCGCAGCCGCGGTCGTGGACGAGCACGAGCCAACAGTGGCGGTTCCATGCTTGGTCGACCCCCTCCCCTGGACGATGTCTTTGCTGGTATGCAATGGAAGCGCCTCGAGGATGGACTGCCCAGCGCTATTCCCCGTCTGGTGGATGCGGATGGCAAGTTCCCCGCCCGAGGCGACGAGGACATTGTAGGACCTATGCAACGGGACGAGGTGATGCTACGGACGCACAGTGAGGAGCGCAAGAGCGCACGATTCTGGAAGAGCCTCGCAGGCAAAGTTGGCCTGCGAAAGTAATTCCTCTCGACCGATCTAACGATTCAACTTAATGACCTACGACATGACGACTAGACCACACTAGAAGTCATTGATGAGCCAGCTATCATGGGGTTGCTTGGCGTTTTATCTTCTTTCATGTCTTTTTTTGCAACAACAATTTTTTTTACAGAGATACCCCGACTCATGTCATTCCTTTTCATTTTTTGGGACATTGAACCCGATATAGCCACGACGGCATACCAACCACATACCTTCGGTCTTATGGAGACCTGCACATATTGTTTATTGTTTAGAGATGTACATAATTGGAAAGTGCGGGGCGTTGAACAGAGGAACAGGAACACCTGGATAACGAAAAAGCGAGAGAGAAAAGTTTAGAACGGGAAACTTGGGTACCAACAAAACAGTGCGCAGAGCCAGCGCTGGAGTTTTGATTTCACTTTTTTCATTGTTTCCTGTGCACGACATTGCACAGACACACACAAACATTTATCCCCGGGCAAGGAAGAAGCAAGGGAACATGTGCACAAAGTGTGTATCATTTTGCTTTTAGGCGTACTGGATTGGGTGGTGGATGAGGGGACGATATTAATGGCTGTCGACATTGGACAGCTTCTCCGGCCTTGCAGTGTTCAAGGTGACGAGGAGAATTCAGAAGATGATTCAAAAATAATAAAAAAATATCTAAAATACCTACTGTTTCTCATGACTGTGACTGTACTGTACCTTGGCTGATTGATGATAGCTACTTTGGAGGTTGGCGTACTGCCTGAGTGACGAGAACTAGGAGAGAGGTTGATGGTAACTACGAGGTAGGTTGACAGCATGCAGTGAAAGGCCCCTTGAAGTAAAAAAAGTCGTGATCCCAAACACGGTTCACCCAAGCGAAGCGAAGCACGATAACCTATCAATCAGTTTCGTTTCCCTCTTGGTGACACCCTCAGGCGGACACGACGCGACCCTCCATCATAAACTAGGCACCCCCTCTTTTTGGTTGCTATGGCCCCCTCATTTTGGACACGAGAAGTGTGAGTGTTTGTATTCGTGGGGGTTGGGCTTATCTGTACGGATATTGGTGGTGTTTTTATACGGTTTTAAATGTATGTGTGTGTGTGTATGGTGTCTTGCTTGTAGGTGTTTTGGTGGTTGGTGTCTTGTATGGATTTGTCAGGTTGGGATACAGTGGCAGAACGCCATGGCTTATGGTTCGTTTCAAAACAAGAGGGGGGAAAGATGAGCCGTGGTTTTGACAGCAGCATCTGATGTTTCACTTGTAATGCGGGTTGTCGTTTATGAGGGTTTTATTTACACTTTTCTTCATCCTACTATCTTTGTGTGTGTGTTGGTTGGTGGAAATGTGAGATGTGCGGGCGAGACGGGTAGATGCATTGATCGGAAACTGAATGCTTTATTTAGATGCGAGGGGAAGTAGGAGGTGAGGTTGTGTTAGAGGGGATGTGAGTGAGGGAGGGAGGTGGGAGGTTGGAGTGACGTCTGACATGTGGGGGTGGGACGGAGAATCCTTGTGAGTGCAGCTTTGCATTTGACATCCTGGACTTTGTGTCTCTGTTTGAGTGTAAGTGAGCAAGACATTATGAGTTGGGAAAGTCAGTAGAGAGTGGGGAGTAAGTGAGACTATTGTGAGTATTGGACTGGACTGATGGATCTGTATTTCGGGATCTTGCTTCAGAAGGATGAATTATTGTTGATATTGGGGTGGTGTGGCTCGGATGGCAGGTGGTTGGTTCAGCCACCCGTCAAGTTTGGGAAGCAAGGAGGATGGCATTTTGCTACAGTCAGGCTTTTACCATGGTTAACTGAAACCGACTCAGCGCCATACCTGAAAATACTTATGACTTGACATCGTGCTGAATATATGGAGGGCTGGGAATACTACTACCGACAGCTCCGTTACTATTACAGGAGAATTGTTGATGAGGACGGCTTGTAAGGTGACTGGCTCCCTATTCATGCTGGGATGATAGCTCATATTGAGATCTCCAGACTGAGAAGGAAAGATTCTGTGATTTGGGTACTTGTCATATATAGAGAAACCAAGGTTACAAACACTACTGACACCAAGAACCTCACTTCGTACGTTGGGACATCTGGAGTAAGGAACCCTCTGATCGTAGAAACGACCGCCCGGTGTTTCGTCCTCGACATGCTCAAGCCGCGTCCTTACATCTTAAGGACTCTTTCCAACACCCCAGACCAGCAAGGGCGCTGCATAAGAAGGAGCCCTCTCCTTAGTCCGCCCCAACTATGTCCCAGTTGGTGCATCACGATGGGATGGATCGGTCAGTAGAGATCCATTTCAGTCAACAACCGGCGGATCCCAAGATGTTTCTCGACGATTGTGATCAACAAAATAGATCCTCCCACTTTGCTCATCTTGTCTTATCTCCCAACCGGACGGTAAATTACCCCCCTGATGCCAAATGGTCTTCAGAACCCCGATACTCATCTCAACGCCTCTTGCATATTGATCCGGTGTTGGATCTCTCATCTCAACATAGCCCTTACTCCTCATTTCCGGACTGATGGCGCCAAGAAGGGATTCAAGACTATTGTACGAGCTTTCGGGCATGACATGGAGCAGGCCGTCATCGTAAACGTGTTCCACCATGGTCTGGCCATCATCTCGTGTCTCGTATGGCGCTGGTCCTTGGCCCTCCCATGGCAGTCGTCTAGACCATTCGTTGTCTGCGTCGATGACACTCGCTTCTGAGCTTGATGCTAGTGCGAGTTCGTCAGTAAAGTATGAATGAAAGATACTTTGAGAGTCTTACAATCGAGTATGGAAACGTGGATGCTAGTATGGCCCTTTTCCAAAGCATTATTCACACGGAGCACCAGCGCCATACTGGCGCCTTTCCCTGCCGTCTTTGCTCCCTTCTGTACTAGGGCAGCTATGATAAGCTCAGTGTTCTTTCGGAAAGTGGCCGTCTCCCGTGCCCCTAGCTCCCTGACTGTCCGTGGAGGCGGGTCATGCATGCGATGTACAGCAAGCCCCAAAGCCGTGATGCCATGTTCGCGACGAGGACTTAGAGTTTCTATATCAACATCTGCGCCTGATTCAAGGAGGATCTCGACACATGCTATGTTTCCAAGACCGCTGGCAAGATGTAGAGCGGTTCCATTCATGGTGCTTTCTACTGCGTTGACCTTTTCTGGGAACAACTGGATGATGTACCTTAACATCGCAGTCTGGGTCGAGATGGCGCCGGTGTCGGACAATGGTGGTTTCGTCATCAAAAGATGAGTTATGAGCGAATTTCCAGTTTGTGAGTTGGCGATGAATGCGGGTTTGCCATATCTCTGCACGACGTACTCTAGGCGGTCAAACCCAAAGTCCATTTTGTATACGGTCAAAGCATGCACCAGCTTGGCAAAGGCTGTAAAGCCGTTCTCCTGATCTGGCCCCAGCAGTCGATCCATGTCAGCACCGACAGCCATCATCTCCATGACTGTTTTAGCCCCGTTCAAGGTAGGATTTCGCATCAGCGCCCACGTGAAAGGAGTTGATCTGTCGCGGGCCCGATCGTAGATACTAGCTCCCCTCCTGAGCAATTCTTCACAGTATCCAGGCCATTCTTGTGTAACAGCTGACTGAAGAGCCCCTCGACTTGCCGAGCCTCTCAACTCAAGAAGTGCCGGGTATTCGTCCACGAGAATCAGGAAAATATGGCGTGAGTCAGAGTAGATAGCTCGTTGAAGTGCATTATACCCGCCAAAGCTCTCTGCATTTGACAAGATCGGTAATAACTCCACTCCGCCCTCTTTAAGATGTGTGATGAATAGCCTGAAAGCTTCGGTATCTCCAGTACAGACAGCGTGGGACAGGGCCGTAGACTGAGGCTCATCGTGTCGAGTCCTTTGTATCGGATCCGCTCCGTGTTCCAGAAGAAATGAGCAAGTCCGTTCTTTCGCTTGCTTGAAATTTGCTCGATGCAGATATCTTCTATCGAGCAATAGCCGCTTATCTGCGTCCATTGCTTTGAGGAGCAACCGCGTGTAATTTTCCGGCGTCATTCCTTGGAACGGCTCCTCAAGTACAAGATCCATCTCTACTGCATTAGTGCCTGCCATAAGGAAGCGGGTTTGTAGCTGTAATGTGTTGGGAGTATCTGCAACCCCTAGTGATTGGTTCACGGAAGACGGGTAGAGTTGTACTGCTAGTTTGAGCATCTTGTCGTGGTTCAGGGAACAAAGTAAAGTAAGAAGACCGCAGTAGTCTGCCGGACTGATCTGAAGTTCAGGCCGGGAATGCGATTTGAGTATTTCTTCAAAAAGAATTGGTCGGTTTTTGAACACCGCCCACATTAGAGGTATACCCGCCCCCAATGACATCCTGTCAGTTCGTTCTGCCAAAGTATCGAGGGCTACTTCACCCAAGCTTGCTCCGCGATCGAGGTAGCGAGGGAGAAGACCGGCCGCATCATGGTCGTCCATCATGGAAAGACAATGGGCTATACTGAGACCCTCAGTGCTGATATGGCCAACTTGAGCTCCATGATCCAGGAGAAAGGTGGCAATCTCGGGGTTGTTGGCCCGCGTGGCATAAAATATCGGGGTCTCATTGCGAAAATTGGTGACGTTGATATCAGCTTTGGCCTCAATCACTAGATATTTTACGAGATCTAGCCGTCCAATCGCTGAGGCTACGTGAAGGGCCCGCTCTCCAACCATCTCGCTACCAAACCGAGCCTCTACTTCAAGGTCAACAACTGCTTGATCAGCATAAATGGGACTCATGATCCTCTCGAGGTATGGCTCGATACGAATAATCTGTGGCTCTGATCGGCCCCAAGCCATCTTTTGAGCCATACTCCCAGCTATAGTCGCCAGTTCAGGATCGGAAGCTTGTAAGCATGAGAGGTTTGAGCGGTAGCCGGCAAGAACAGCGTGGGTGTTCCAGAGTCTCCTCGGCACAGTTGTTTGAACACGACTTCCGGTAGATTCTTCCAGAGGACAGAACCAGTACTGGGCATTGCCTTCGTGAGACTGAGCGGCTAGAGCGAGCCACTCTATAGCAATCGATTCAACCACAACTGTTCCCAAGCCGAGAAGGTATGAAAGCGCGATATTTAGTGCTATAGGAGCAAGCATCTGAAGTTCCGGCTGTGTCCATAGTTGTGACCGGCTACGGCCTTCTTCGGCTCGCACGTAGTCATACAGGGCCTCCTCACTGCCTGTGAAGTTCTCGTCGACATCGCGTGCAATAATTGGACTTACTCTTGCCTTTATATCATTGCCTATTGCGAGAAGGGTTTGTAACATCTTTTCCTTGAAAGGTCGAGATCGATACATGTATGAAGGCTGAATGGCCTGTAATGATGTCAGACCAAGTCTTGAGCTATCAGATACGTTTGAAGACCTACCAGTAGTCCCGGTATGGGCCGATTTTCCCAATAAGAGGGATCATACATCGCCGTATCAGGGAGGTCTGTTAACCTGCGTATCATCAGTCAGGTATAGCCACATGCCACTTGAAAAGTACTTTTCCATACCCAGACAATCTGCCATTCCCTTGCTCCCTTAGTAAGAGCAAAAGGTCCATGATTGACAGCCGCGATGACGGCTGGCAAGGAAGAGAAGATGTGAACAAGAGAGCGAGCGGAAGCGATGGTAGACCGTCACCCAGAAGTGATACAGAGTTCATTGCAAGACGTAGAGGGCTTTCAGGGTGATCATCAGGATATAGTTTGTGCAGCAGAACCACCTTGGCTTTATCGTCAGGGGTCATGCAATAACGAATACGGGTTTCCAGGAAGCTTCCACCCTGTGGAATCCACCCCGAGGGACACCATATCGTTGCAATCACTATACCGAATGAGTATGTGTCCGCCAACTGCCAATCGATGTTCATTTCGCCGAGAACCACCTCTGGCGACTGCCATACTGGTGTTCCTGTTGTAAACCTCGCTGATGCATACGTTGAGGCTGGGGCTACACCACTGAAGTCGGATATCTTTGCGACTATACCACGGGAAGGATGTTGGCACAGAATAATATTTCCCGGCTTGACATCGCCGTGGGTGAGACCGAGGGAATGTATGATGTGAAGACCAAGGGCGATATCGATTGTCAGGTTTGTCTTTCTCTCAATAGTTCCGTATGATCGTAGTTGCTGCAAGGAATCCTCGAGGGTATCTGAACCATAAGTATTTGTTTCATTCTGAAAAGCGATAGTATGTGTACTTACTGTAGGTCGCTAGCTCCAGACCAAGTGCGGGAACGATGCTGTTACCATCCCAGCCGACAAATAGTAGCCTGCAGATGTTCTCATGTTTTCGCAACTCTGGATGACAAAACACTCGCAGCTCTTGGAGCAGCCACGCATGTATCCTTTCAGTGCCCTCCTGATCGGCGCCACTCGTAGTTCTGGGAGCCTGATGATATCTCTTACAAGCAACTAACGTTCCTGCCACCAAACCAGGTTAGTAACGTTGATGTACCTAGTTTCTGCTTGGGTGGGTAATAAATGAATAGGTTACTAACCGGCTGGACAATCTGGTGACACATCCTTCTCAATTTGCAGCACTGATACGTTGCTCGAAATTCCATGACCCAAGAAAACTGACTGAGGTACTTTACCCCCTGTGACTGAGGCAAATTGACCTACTGGGAGGTCATAGTGAGGTATTTCAAATTGGATGGCCAGAACGAAGAATGAGAAGACGTCTGGTGTAGTCCTTTCAGAGAAGAGAGATTCTTGTTCTCCTAGTGTAAGATCTGCAATGGACGTGACCAAGGCAGCGTCGTCATCACTTGGATCACCACGGACGATGGAAGATAGTTCAGGCATCTCGGTCAACCCGGTACTTGGACGATAGAGAGAAACCTCTGATGCTTCCAGTTTCTGAAGGGATCATTTTCGGATGTTGGGTATGGCATCAACCAAGACGAGGCTGCTATCTGAGCGGGGTTGGGAACACCTGCATGATAGATAAGCAGCCACATTTTCTAACCATGAAGCCTTCCATCAACCTTTCTCGCACTCAGATGTGACTATAACCACAGCAAAATCCTGGACTATCTCAAATTGATACACAATACCCCAAACGATGGATCCAGCAAGTGCCACTCTCACTGCCGTGAGCTTACTTGTAGCCTTCAAAGGCGCAGTAGATAGCTATGTAATGTTGACAGACATCTTCGCCTCGGACCCCGGCCTCAATTACCAGGCTCTACTGTACAACATCGAGCAGATCATACTCCAGACTTGGGGCGAGAGAATGAAGATTGCCGACACAAAAGAGTGCCTCATAAACAACGAGCCGCCTCTCATTCAAGACGCCGTTGGGAAGATTATGGCCGAGATCTCCACTACTCTTGATGCAGCGGGCGAATGGATCTCTAAAAAGTACTCGATCGATCCTCCTGATCCAAACAAGACGCAAATGAGTACCGCAACCAATGACTTCAATACCAACAGCCCATGGATCGCGAAACTAAAGGAACAGCAACACAAGTTGAAAAAGTTGCAACGATTTAGCTGGGTTGCGAAAGACAAGAAGCACTTTGAGGAAATCAACCAGAAACTCGCAACTCTAAACCAGAAGCTCCATTGTCTTGTGGGTGCCTGCGATGAGACGAGGCTAGTGACGGCTATCAGCGACAAGTTGGATTCCCGTTTGTCTCTGGCGACTCTATCGAGCGGAGGCAACCAAGCATCATCCACGTTACTCGGTCTGGTCAGCCGTCTTCAATCAATCCAGGAGGAGGACGTTGAGGCAGCATCAGCTCGAGTCAAGAGTATCCCCGCAGAATGCATCCAGCATCTAGACACCGAGAACCAGAGAAAGGATATCCAACGAACACTCGCCAGCTACCAATCCACTACTTCACTACCTGAGACAGTCCTCCTAGAATGGAAATACATTGAAGCGTGGAATAAGGAACAGTCTCAACTTATCAAACGGATCCGAGCCTTGGGTGCTCTTTTGAGTACCGGAAATGCTCAAAACTTTCACAGGCTCGACTGTCTAGGTATCTTTGACGATTTAGACCACGAGAAACAGTTTAATGGGTCACGACGTATTGCACTGGTCTATAAACTTCCGCGATCCCGCACGCTTCCACAGAAACCTCCGAGTCTACTGGATATTCTCAAACTCGCAAAAAAGGATCGAACTCGTCCACCATTAGGACAAAGATTTGAGCTGGCTTACCAACTTGCCTCTGCCATATCTCTGTTCCATGCAGCAAAGTGGATTCACAAGTCCTTCAGCAGCGACTGCGTTGTGTTCCCAGGTGCAGCGAATTCCATTACGGACCCTGCTATCGTTGGATTCCAGTACAGCCGTCCAGCGAAGGATGAATCTCTTGAGAAGACGTCGGGACTCGTGCGTTCCGAGCTCCAGTTATACATCCATCCCAGCGTTGAGTCAGGGTGGACCAAAGCCAAAGAGATATATAGCTTAGGTATTGTCCTCCTTGAAATCGCATACTGGAGGCCTATTTTTGAAGACAATTATCGCAAGATGGTGGCGTTAGACGTGGTGATGGCTCTAAAAGGTGAGGTATGTGGTAAGTTTGGCCAGGACCTTGAAGGCACGGTGGGAGAAACTCTTATGAGCGCTGTGCGATGGTGTCTATCCTGCCCTGATGATTATAGAGGGCCATATGCCGAGGCAGGGCTGTCGACCTTGTTCTTCCAGAATGTGGTAGAGCCACTGTCGACGCTCAAGGCATGAAAAAGAAGTGGCTAGGTATATGAGGAGTTATAGCTGTGTCGTTGGGAAAGGGATGAACTAAAATCGGCCAATTTGCTTGGAGGGATTTCACCAGTAGAAGCTATCAAAGACTTAGATATGCGTGTTGCCATACTCCCTTCCCACCCATCTGATTCGCAACCTTTTATTTTCAACCTCTTTCCAACCTCTGATAGGTTATTGTAAATGTCAACTAAGATAGATCTAGAAGCTTGAACTGAGCTTGAAACAGTTCTATCGGATTGCTGCAGATTCGCCACTCAACGTCCTGCACATCACGATCATATCATCAAAGAGCACATTTGAGGCCATCCCTCTAGTCTAGACTGGGGTTGATTGCCTTATGGCGAACAGTAGACTAAGATGATATAGGAAAGTAACTCCTGGAATATCAGGAACGCCTTGAACTAGTTTCATTAGCCAGCCTTATATCCTCGGATAATGGCCAAAGGGAAGGCCTTGTTCCACCGGCTATCGATCTTCAGCTGGAGAATTATACAACAGGTTGATTCGCGGGAGTAGTTCCGCCAGCCTTGACCACGGCTTCATGCATCACTAGCGCTCAGCCATCATGGAAGTAGACCCTTCTTCAGCTTAATCCAAACAATGTCTCAGAACTTCAACGGACGCTTCCACATTAGGCCATTTATACTGATGAGACCATGTTTCCCGGATCCTACTTAATCTCCTGGGCACGCCTTGAATGATCTCATATGGTTTTTGTATCTCAGGCTTTGTAGCAAAAATGGACAGTAATGGCTACTCCAGGTACGACTCAGATATGTTTTAAGTCGTGTATCTAACAATATTCAGGATTCAGCGGCGGTGTCCCACGGGAAAACAACGCCCCCGAAGTCTTTGATGGAAATTTACCACAGCTTGTCCCTGATAACGTGGTAGAGAATGGAGCTCAAGATGTTGCGAAAGTCGAGACAGCCTCCCAGGTTATTGAGAGCCCTGCAGGAGAGTCCAAGCCACCTCTCATTTGCGGTACAGAGGAACAATCTAGATCACGGAGAACATGTCAACTAACCATGATGATTTGAGTAGGGATAAGAAAAAAAGTCGTTTATATTGCTCTAGCTGTTGTCCTTCTACTGGTCATTATTGGCAGCATTGTGGGAGGTATACTGGGGAGTCGGAGACATTCTAGTTCATCCACTGCAGAGATTGACATTGCGACAACATCTAAGAATCCAAGCAGCACGTATGTGGTCCTACGAACCAAGGAAGGATTCCCAACTGACAATCATATAGTTCGTCCTCTGGCGAGACGGCCATTCCGACACCCTCCCCAGATTCAAGCACGACAGATCTAAGCATGTAGGTGGTTACTATCCGTCCAAGGCATCTACCTGCGCTAACCTACCTATCCTCCAGCTCAATAACCACAGAAGAAACCACGACTCCAATCCCGACTACGTCCACAGCTACATCGACATCCAGCGCCCCATGCAGCGAAGGGACGGTCGCCGCCGGCGAAACACAAAACTACCTTGGTCTCTGCAAATTCTCGTGCGCATACGGATACTGCCCACCGGGACCCTGTACATGCACAAGTCACGGCGATGGAAAACCTTTACCTCCGGAGACAGGGGTTCAAGGGTGTCCTCTTCCTGGTTCAAGTGAAGGATATCGTGGGTTGTGCTCTTTTGCTTGTAACCATGGGTATTGTCCGCCGGGAGCTTGCACCACAGAGTGCTCAGAATAGACAGGCGGGTTGGGAGAACATAGGGCGCCAGATCTTTTTAATGCAACAGCTATGCATGTCTGACACCAGGTATATATATTAGTACGATCTTGAAATTTTAGAAGAAATCTATGTCCGTCTCTTAGGCTAGGCAGCTGGAGGTGCGGGATGCCCACAACCGGGACGTCAAGGAGATAACATCTGTAACAAAAAGTGGCATCTAAAAACGCCTTACCCATCAATTTTCCCTAAACAGCATCCTGCTTCAATAGCGCGCCACGAAGTCCAAGATGCAGGCTTATAAGTGGTTGCGCATTTGCGGCTGAGGACCCTGGTACAGGCTGAAAGAAAAGACATAGATCAAAACATCAGCACTTAATCTTTCAGCATATCAAGTCACAGGAACCATGTTGCATTGGAGGGATTGACAGGGGAATAGAGAGAAAAGAGAGACTATTAAATGCCAAGAGGGGTCTGCCCTCTTGGTTTCCCCCGCTTCTGCCCTTTCGTGTAAGTCAAGATGGAGCCTCAACGGGTTTTGCAACATGCGAATACTATGCCTCAAGGTTTATCGCATCAGAGATCTGTTGCTAGAAAACCTGTTGGAAACCCGTCTGTAGGGTCGCCGCAGATTGTTTCGCTTCCACATCGGCCTGCGCCTCAGCAGCAGCACTCGCAGGGCGGTTATCCTCCTCATGTCCAACAGCAGCAGAGTCAGATCCAACAACAGCGGCCTCAGTCTTACCATCCCAGACAGCAGATTCATCCTGGATATCAACAGATTCCAAGTCAAATCCAAAATGCTCAATCTGTCATTCAGTCCAGTCAGAGTGTACAGCAGCAGGTGCAACCGGCTCAGCACCTTCCGCACCAGCAGTCAGTGCAAACCCAGCATCATCAACATCAGGCCCAAACGATTCAACAACAACCTCATCAACAAGTATCTCAGCAGCTGAACCAACAACAACCACAGACACCAATCCAGCATGTCCAGGGACAATCTCAACACCTACCATCCCCGCAACAGCTGCAATCACTTCAACAACAGCACGCCCAAGGACAGCAACAGCAGCAAGTGCAAACCCAAAATCCTCATCAACCTCAACCCCAAGCGGCCCAGCAGCAACCGCATCAAGTATCGCAACAGCTAGCACAACAACAATCACAGGTTCCGATTCAAAATGTCCAGTCGCAACCCCAATACCAGTCACCCCTGCAGCAATTGCAGCAATCACTGTTGCAAGAGTACGTCCAAGGGCAGGAACAGCCGTACCAACAACACTCCCCAATACAACAACAGCAGATCCCGACACAGAATCAACACCTCCAACAACAACTTTCCAGTCCGACAGGCTCAGCTCCAAACATCGCGCAGCAGGCAGCTCAGCCCACACCCCCAAACGTCCAACAAACACAAGCACTGCCGACAAGCTCAACTCCTCAACTTCTGCATGCCGACCCTGGCCAAGCGAACATCAATTCGTCCATCGTCGATCACGGAAGACCTGCCAGTGTTACCAGTAGTAGCCCTAGTATTGCCACGCCTGCCACAACTGTCGCAAGCGTTGCGTCGCCAGGTGTGATAAGCACTCCAGCATGGGATCCCAGTGCTGCTCCTCCGATTCAACAAGTTCCGGCAGTCGATATCAGGCGTACATCTACCGGACAACCCAAGCTGTGCAATCATTGTCGAAAAGGTGAGTGAGCTTGGCTACAGTCTGAGCATATTGGCTTACCATCATAGCAATCCCGCTCAATGTATCGGTCTATACCTGTCTCATCTGTAGCACCGCGCATATCGCGACAAGCTTCTGTGTCTGGTGCTTCACCTCCAACACAGTCAACACTTCCCACAGCCACGACAAGTCTTATTACGCAACCGAATCTGATCCCCGTGTCCAACCCTCGGTGCAAGATGCCACGACGCACATGTGGACGATCCGAAAGAATGTTTCTGGGAGACTTTGGTACACACACAATGTCACTGGGCTCAAGACGCATCTCAAACCTACAGCAGCGGCTTTGTCTAGCTTCTCGGGATTGCCACCGGGCTGGGATGAGCGAAGAACACCTGATGGTCGGACGTTTTACTTCAACAAGAGATTGGGAACAAGCGCTTGGACGAAGCCAGCCAATTCTCTGCCCGACGGCTGGAAGGAGTTGAGAACCCCAGACGCCGTGCCATTCTACGTCAACGAACAACTGGGCCTGTCAACGTGGGATCGACCAGGACAGCAACCACGACAGACGAAACAGGGCAATAAAGTAGTAGTCAGACGGAGGCCTGCACCAGGACAGCCAAACACCCCACAGAATGTCGGCGACAATATCCTTAATGCTACGATTAACGCAGCCCGACTCACTGGTCAAGGTGTCGAGTCCGCCAGCAGACAAGTCGGAAAGCTAGGAAAGAAGAAGAACTGGAGGAAATTGGGAAGGATGCTCAATCAAGTCAATGGAATCAACGGTGATAATTCAGGAAGCGACTGTGAATACAATGATTATAATGACGACAGTGGTTTCGGTTTCGGCGATGACTCGGGCGGCTACCAAGATCAACAACAAGGGCAGTTCCAACAGGGTTTCGACTATCAGCAATCCTCTTTCTCAGAGCCTCAGCAGTCCTTCGATTTTGGAGATAACCAACAACAACCGACGTTCCAGCAGCCTGGGTATGAGCAGCAGACGACGTTTGAGTACTCTGTGCAGTCAGGCTATGAGCAATCTTCGTTCGACCAACAGCCCGGGCAGTTCAGCGTCACGACTGAGGTTTCTTACACGACCGAGTCGCAGCCGTCCTTTGAACAACAGACCTTTGAGACGCAACAAGATCAATACAGTCAGCAAATATACGAGCAGCAACCTGGTATCCAGGATCAGCAGCAACCCATGTTCGAGCCGATGATGACCCAAGAGTCTATCACCATAACTTCTCAACAGGCTGAACCATTCGAGCCTGTTCCACCTCTCCAACAGCAGGATTGCATGCCAGCACCTATTCCACAGGAGACTTATGTACAGCCGACGCCTCAACCTCTGTACCAAACATCCGTACAACAGACATATCCTACCCAGCAATTCGTCTACGAGCCGGCCCAAGTTCAGATGCAACAGCAACAGGTCACCGTCTCTTATCAAGTGCCCACGTACACTCTCGAGCCAGCACCGACCGTCGTACCTCAGATGCAAACACCACAGCCTGTCTTGCCAATTTACATCCCGAATAACCAACCTGAGATCATCACCAGCGACGCGCATCTAGTCGAAGTCCCTGGTGCACCTGACACTACAACCCTCGTATTAAACAGTGGCTATGGTGGTAACGACATCCTCGCCGGTACAAGTCTGGCCGCAGAACGAAACGTTGTAGTGTCGCAACCACCGCAAGATGATGTCGTAGTCCAAGTTACTGTCGGGCAGACGCAGTCGCCCTTGGTGCAGACAACATGTGGACCAGAGTCAGTGGTGGTTCAAGAGTATAGTACTGTGGGAAAGACAGATGCGTTTGTGTCTGTTGATACTGTGGCGATCGAGAATAGCTTTGCTACGACTGCGGCCAATAACTGCAAAGACTATATCTAGGGATTGAATGCTCATTCTGTCTTTGCTTGATGACGCGACGGTGTTTGGAGTATACGAGCTTGGATGTCCATCAACATGAATTGGAGTTCTTGGAATACGATAGCGTAGCAATGTCTTGATCTTTTTCTCATTATCATAATCCAATATACGAGATCGCTTTCTATCTGTATGCCATACAATCTGTCCAAGCCAGTACCCAGAACATGTCGAGCCCAATTCCACTTTATCCACTCTAGGCCATCTCATAACTATCGACCCGTTGACTATCCCCACGTTTGATCTTCCTCCTCAAATCCCTGAGCGTATTCCGCTCCTCCTCCTCCTCCCCAATCCAAACAGGTTGAAAACTCTTCTGCCACAACCACCATCCACCCCCCGTGATAAGAGTAACAGGAATCGCAATAACAAAATACATCCAAATCTCTTTCGAAACAGTCCACTCACCAGTATCATCACTCACATTAAAAAACGACATACTGAAAAGTGCAGAAATAAACGTCGCCGGTAGAAATGTTAGTGTTACAAAGGCAATCGTCTTCATCGCTGCGCTGTCGGTTTGTGTCGCTTTGCCGATCTTAACGGCGATGCGAGAATCGTACTGCGCAACGCTGTGGAAGGCGAGTTGGACTTCGTTGAGCAGACGTTCTTTGTTTGCGCTGGCGCGATGGCGGAGACTGGAGAAGATATGGTCGTACCACAGTAATCGCTCTCCAACACGTCGATATCCTGCACCCTTCCCCATCTCTTCTTGAAAAGACTTGTGCTGCGCAATAATAGAAGCAACAGTCTTCTCTGCCACCTCCAATGTCTCCGAGACGTGAATAGCATGTCTAGCCGTATCGTGCATAAACCTGTACTTGGGATTCGGCTTTTTGCTGTTCTCTTCTGTTTCGATACCGCGCACACGGTCACGGACGGCCCAGACGCTGTTGTCTTGTAGGGTGGATAGCTGCTCTAAAAGATGGAGGTAGAACCAGAATGGATCGCCGAGAGTTTCGTTATGCATAGAGGTAGGAAACACTTTTCTGAGACGATGTTTACCGGGAACTTCGAAGATGACCAGGGTTGTTTTCTGTGATGAGGCGATCCAGCGGGTGAAAATGTTAAATTTATACCATTCGTGGGAGTTGGCGTGTAGTTGCTTTGCGAGGAAGCGCGACCATGTATCTAACTCCGTTAGCAGAGCACATTAACGAGTAGAGGGAGGGACACTTACTCAATGATGTGATATCACCATTATCATCGCGAAACGTCTCACTTCCAAAATATCCATTTGATCTTCGACTATAACCTGACCAGTAGAGATCTGGCATGAGGAATTCATCTGTAAAGTATGCTCGACATGATGGACAGTCGCGGACTCTATCTGCGTCCGCGAAACTATTCCAGTCAGTACGCGTTCATTCGAGATGAGGTGGTAGTAACTTGCATGACTGTGACATGAGAATCTGGGCGTAGAGTCAACTCGGCTGAACGAGGATTCGTCGGCCCATCCCATTCATTGTTATCTACTACTGTTAGCGTTGAAGATGTTGGCTTGTAGGGGACGGACCTTTATTCCATGCCAAGACGCAAAAGTCACTGCAGTTTTGATGTGTTGGCATTTTGACAAACTTGATAAAATGGAAGAATTAATTGATCGTACTCAAGACTGCGCGCACTCGACAATTGGGCGTCCTCAAGAGTTGGGTGTAGCGTCGCTTTTCAATCGCACACCATCAACATCATCAGATCATATTCCAGGCAGAATATTTGAGGCAGTGCGAAAGTTGTGAAACATTGTTGGTGATGATGAGCCTCAATTACGTCGCAACCAATCGGTTATCGTGAGGCTGCATGTATGCGCCCGGCTGGAGTGTAAGCGCCTAGATGTGGGTAAGGCGTATCGCGCAGGCATCAATCTGCAGTGAAAATGAGATTCTATTTGATAGACTTTGCAGTAATGGCGCTTTGCATTTTGGTGTTTGTAATTTATTATGCTGTGATACTGCCTCCGGAACGTACCCTGGAGCTGAAGAGGAAATATCACCACCACAACGTCGCTTGTAATAAGACGCTTCAGTCGCCCATTTCCCCACGTATGTAGACGCCTTATGCATGTTTCTCCCAAAAGATTCCCATCATGTCAACCAGCAACCACTCATCCAATCCAGCAAATCACTGGAAAAGACATTCGGTCAAGCGGAGAGTCGACAGGCTTGTCGGGGTCAACTTCGTAGTCCCTACAACCACATCAGTTTAAACGCCATGGACCTCTAGGGTATGAGAACATACCAGACAATCCCAAGCAGCTCCATATCTGTAGCAAACCAATTCTCAGAAACCTTTGCAACCTGGCGCTTCTCTCTCTTGGCACCAAAATCTGCCTCTCTGCGAACTCGTCGTAAAAATCGTAAATTGGGGATGTCGATTTCCGGTGGTGGACTGACTTGCTGCACGTCGACCATCTGCAGATGTGTTAGTTGGGCGTCGCAGAGCTGGAGTAGACGACTTACGTCGGTGTCCTTCTAAGATCGCACAGCGGGGGCTTTTTTGACTGTCGTGGTCTTCGGCTTTTGTTTGGATGATCGCGAAGCTTGTGTTCTCGTGATCTTGTTCGTCGTGATGTCAGTTCGGGGTTTTCTGGTGATGGGTTTCGTGGTGGAAGGCATTTGTGAGAGCGCTGCAGTGAATCACAAAGGGTTCGTCGTAATCTAATATTATAGGTATGCCCAGAGCAGATAACGAGTAGATTGCGAGTCGGTAAAGATGTCTGGCGATATTCTCAAAAGGATGTCTCGGGAGATATTGATGAAGGGACAGAAACAGATTGGAAGCCCCGTGTTTATGGTATGCCCATGAAGCTTTGCAGCGGCAGGAGGTATCAGCATATTGACTGGACTGCCTTGAGGATGCGCCCGCCTTCTCGGTGAAACGGCACTTGGGGAGGAGCATTAGGATGAGACAATGAAGCAGGAGGTTTAAACCATCAACATTGCTTCCCTCTCCCTTCATCTCAGCCATCCTTGTAGCCACGAACGCTTCCACCTTGAGGCGATAAAGCCAGCTTTTGTCGGTGACTGTACATCTTCTACTATACTCATCAAGGTCCTGTCTCCAATCTCCGCATTTGTGATCAGCGCCGATACCCATGAGCAGCGAGTCTAGACCTGCAAGATCCGACGAGTCGGTAGTGGAACGGCTATGTACAACGCCGATCACCATGTATCCCATTTCATCAACACCAAGAATACGAAGTTCTGGTACACAGGCGGATATGAATAGCTTCAACTATGATGGTGTAATGATTGCCTTCCAACATGCACACCGATGGTACGTTATCATTGCCATATACTTCAGAGCCGATCTCCTTACCACAGTACAGTAGGTAGCCCGGCCGGTAGCATAGCTGATGTCAAGATTAGATCTCGATAGATGTAAAATTCTTCATCAAAACAGTTAACAATCGTCATAAACCAATTAAGCTTTTCATCTCGCATTCGCGTATGGAAAGAAAAACAATGCCATCACTTGAACATCAACGTTGTTGATCAACCCCGCACGCCACGGCGACTGAAGACAAACGGAGGCAGTCCGTCGCGGGAGAGCGACACAATAAATTGCCTCCATCAGTGGCGACCCTATCAAAATACGCATCCCTGACAAATGGTATTCTGACTTTACCATCTGCATGTTATTGTGTTTACACGTGAACCTCGGAGTTACCTCCTGTGTGCAATGAGAGGTGAAAGTGACAGTTGAGACGACGTCATTATATGCATGGGATTTGTTAAAACATGACTCGATTTCTTGATCGACGGTTAACTGGATTATGCACAAAAGTGAATCGGGGTTGTTGCACGTGGCATGGGGTTAGGTTGGAGTTGAACGTGACCTCATGGGACATGGGTGGATCATATGCCAGATAACATGAGTGCGACGTTGATGCATTTGACAGGTAGACAGACATTCACATAGAGACACAAGGACAAGATAGTGTAATAATGTTAAACTTATGGTATTTCTGCCATTCAGTGTGGGTGCTATTTGCCCGCCATCCATCATCCATCTCGCTGTCCTCCATCCACAAGATGCTCGCTCTAGGTTATCCAGGCGAACCATGCGCCTGCAAAACGAATCCAACATGGGGTATCCCAAATGCAAGGTAACAATAATAATAATAAAAACAAACGCCCCGATGTCCATACGATGATAAAAGAATAGGTCTAAATGCGCTTTCCTGTGGAAATGCTATATGCTGATGCTGTCGGGGGTGAGAGCGAAAGAGGTTGTACAGGTGTTGATGCGATGGGAGTCTTCTATAGTCGTTTCATGTGGACGTGTCGAGTTGATGGGTGATGGCGGGCAGATGCAGTCGTAATCAAGAGTAGTAGGTGATGTTGCGGTGAGGTAGGTTGGTTGTTTCTAAGGGTATCATGATAATAATGTCGTTGACCGCTTTCCGCGTTTACTTCTTGTGAGACTTGCCGGAACGCGAGTAGTTTCTTCGCACGCGTTCTCGTCCACGACGCTCCTCCTCATCGCTGCCAGAGCTGTGACGACGACGATCCTCCTCGTACCAGGCGCTCAGTGCCTTTCCGCCGAAAGTGAGGTCTTCATCTTCGATGATGGTGGGTTGGACCCAAGTGTAGGCTGAAGGGTCGACTTCGCGGGCTGTGGGGTCGAGAGCCTGAAGATTGGGGACGTAATAGTAGTAAGTTTCGGTTGAGTGAGCCATAATGTTTGTGGTTTGTATGGTTTGGTCACAGAAAAGTCGGATGGGTTGGTTATGTATTTATTGTGTGGTTGTTGTTTGTTTGTTTGTTGTTGTGGTTCCCAATTGGAATGGAGAGGCAAGTGGGCACTTCACAAAGGGAGATAATGTGGATATGATTGGTTTGCAATAAGAGTCCAGCTCGTGAACAAAGAAATGCAAACGCTTGTTTTTGTTTGTTTGTGTAATGAAGAGAGAAGGAAAAAAAGCCGGGGAAGGGGATTTCGGGGGGAAGGCTGATGGATATAGATACCGACAGTTCTAGTTAAATGGAGCCTCAGGTGAATCAAGGTGGAGTGTGCCAAGCTGTAAGGGGGGGGGGGGGGG